CCCCTGCCTGGTTTTCTGACATCGACAATTGGGAATTTGGACTGTGGAAATTGCTCTTGGTGGTTTGTTCAGTCTTACTTATTTGAGACTGGCTCGTGTATTGAAGCTTGGCCTTGAACTTACTATACAGCCAAGAATGACTCTAAACTTGTGCTGTTCTTGCCTCTACCTCCTGAGTTCTGGATTGTAAACATGTGCCAGGCCTAGTTTATGAGGCACTGACATCAGACTGAAGATCTTTGTAGGTAAGCACTCTGCGCTGAGCTATGTCTCCAGCCTGGATTCTCTTTGAAAGACTTACTGAGTTACTTATTCATTTAACCAGTGTTTACTGCACACTCACCACATGGGAGGCAGATCCCTGAGAACAGAAGGATGAACAAGACGGATGCACCCTGTACTATACAGCAAAATCAGTTCCATTGAGAAAGTTTTTATTATCTCTTGTGGCTTCTCAGAAAACTCACCTAATTTGGTCATCAGAAACTCAGATTTCTTGGGATGGATGTTTTGTCTTCTGAAGAACTTTGATGAAGGTAAAGATTAACTGTTTCCCCAGGTAATGGGGAAACAAAGAGTCCCAAAGAAGCATGTTCCTTTGTGACCTGAGTACTTTGTGAGTGCTGCAAGGTCTTGGCATGAGTTCTCCTGTTACAGTTTGAAGCCTGATTAGTAGTTTGGGGAAAAGAACATTGGGAAAGCAATCTTCCATTTATAAGTTACTAATTTATATTGTAACTTTGAACTCAGGTAACAATAAATACAAGTCTCAGAGAACCATGAAAAAAAAAACCCACAATGAAATCAGGTTATTTGAAGGAAACTGAGTGAAACTCGGGCAGCTCATCAGCCTTGAGTCAATTTCCTGGGTCTTGTCAGCCTCCTTCCTGAGCTGTCCTGGAACTCACTCTGTAGACCAGGCTGGCATTAAACTCAGAGATCCGCCTGCCTCTGCCTCCCCAGTGCTGGGATAAAAAGTGTGCACCACCACATCCTGCTAAAACAGAGCAGTTATAACATTTTACTATAATGCAAGTTCTGTGAGTGTAGTAGCTCAGAATACCCTGCTCTGTACTATATTTGAGGTTGGTGCTATCTTTGGAGAGAATGGCTAACTTAAACCACAGAAAGTAAAAATCACAGATAAATCGTCTTCAGTACTTACTCTGTCCAAAATCACGTTTGCTGCCCAGTTAAGTCTTTACTAAATGTCTATACCAGATAACATGAATTGGTCATTGGCCTGCTGCGTTGTGACGGTGGGAAAGAGCAGGCAGCATGGTGGTCCCATGGGATGATTTATTCAAGCTATGGAAAAACCCAGGTTGCCCTGCTTCTCAGGAGAGGAGAACCCCTCTGGGTCTGATGAAACAGAGTTCCCAGGAAGGATCTTCGAGGTTCTTCTTTTGCTAATCAACATTAAGGCAGTATTGTAGTGGTATTTTTTTCCTTAGCATCTAGTAAAATAAAGATGCATCTTACAAAGGATTAAGTCTTCCATGACATTAAATATGATGATTGTCCCTATATTATTCTCCATCCAGGTTTCAACTTGTCCCACTCACCTCCCTCTGTACTGCAATGGCAGCACATGACAGTGGTGTGAGGTCATAGCCAGGATGGAGGATCCACTCTAACTTACTCTTGGCAGTGAGCTCACGTGCCTCTCAGGGGAGCTTCCTTCCGAAAGCTCCACCATTATTCTCTCACTTGGCTCCTGTTCCTTTCTCAAGGGCCCTGACGTAAAGTCAGCTCCAACCAGAGGAGACAGCCTACTGAGCGCTCAAGGACATCTGACAGCCAACATCCCAATTTTAATGCAACCCCCAACCGCCCAAACTCTGCTTATCATTGCACCTCTCACTTCAACCAGGTACCAAACAGCCGTTAATGGAGACTTACAGTGGAGATGGCAACTTGCGGCAACACAGTTTGAGACATATCTAGTCCCTTTAGTTTTACCTCTAAAGGATTTAGGACATAAAATTGTCCCAGCTGGGGCTTCACTGTTTCCTTTCCCAACCCTTTCCTTCAGATCTTCAGTGAGGGATAAAGCATTACATAAAACAAGTTTACATAACAGTGCCCGTACCACATAATCACATATTATGGTTGGTGATAAAGAAAAAATAAGCACTTCACATAGCATGACTCTCTCAAAAGAATTTAAATTACAAACCTAAGCTGAAACCTCTTGGCTTTTACTGGAGTTACAGAACTGATAATGTCCAACTGGGATATGTAAATTACCATGTTCAGAGCCACCACTTGACTCTTAATCAAACCCTTCTGCTACTTAATCTAAGGGGCAATCATTCTTGATAATTGGCAGGTGACATTTTCATAGGCAGTCACAGTATATTTATACACGTATGTGTTTAAGCAGTGCCCTCTGTCCTGTTGACTGAAGAAGTGAAGAATCATTCTAGCTTTTGAAATGTTCAACTTTTAGAAAGCTGAAAACTTTGGCTGCTCCAGTCGTATTCCTCGGGAGTGATTTGGGGAGAGGGGGACACTCTTTCAGTCGCCTGGCTGGGGTCTGTTTTGGAGTGTGCTAAATGGGCCGCGAGTTCTTCCCACTTTATAGATTATATCTGTTGAGAAAGGTTTGTTATCCAGATTTTGCTTATAAAACACCAGAAGCTTGGGAATGTTAGTTAAATGAGCCCAGTATTCAAAAGTGAGTTTTAGAGCCTGTATTTCTAATGTTTACCCTGGAGTCCACGAACTTTCTCCATGAAAAACCACCAATGAATTCCACATCTGACGAAAGAAGACTGGCCTCAATATGACAGACTCTGACTATGTCAGGCCTCTTACTGTAGGTGAGACTGTGACGTGAAACGGACAGCCGTAGAAGCCAGGACACTCAAGTCAGACTCAGGTGGCTGACAAGAAACATTGTGCTTCACCCTGGTTCCTTAGGGCCCTGGATGCTGAAAACGGAATCTCCTTGACAGGGTGCTGCGAAGTTCCAATAAAGATGTTTTGTTTGGTCCGTGTTTCTGGGGGATGGCGTAACTATGCAGCCTGACCAACAAATGCCACACAGCCCTGACCGATGACTCATGGGCTCAACTGTGAGATCTTGCGTCAGTTTCAAAATATCATTTATAATTACCTGAGCCAAACAGTCAAGGGCTTATCACAACTCATTATACTATCTTGGCTCTGTTCTAATTTTATCTTAAGTTTTTTTTAAGAAAATGAATGTGTATGGTGAAGAAAAAGACAATGTATTGTAGGTATCTACATTAAAAATACTTTCATATAATAAAAGTTTCCTAAGTTAATGTTGAAGTGTTTTGAAGTTAGATTTTTTTTTTTAAACATAGGCTCTCTAGCCAGGCTGACCTCAAACCCCCTATGTAGGAAGGATGCCCTTGAACTTCTGATCCTCTTGCCTCTAGAGTGCTGGAATTATGGGCATGTACCACAATACCCAGTTTATGTGGTGTCAGCGCTTGAACTCATGAACCTGTGTATGCTAAGCACTCTGCCACTGAACTACATGCCCAGCCCTAGAAGTTAGTGTGAAAATAAAAAAAAAAAAATCTCCATAGAGTAAAAGTAACCCTGTCCCCCAAGGAAAACACACCCTTGAAGATTATTTGTTATTGTTACAATTTTATGTCCTTCCCTCCCTCTTCTCTTTTCTTGACCTTTTCCCTTGTCTTTTTGAGACAGGGACTAAGATATAGTTTAACAGGACTCTGAACTTTGTATCTTCTTGCCTTCTGCCTGTATCCAGAATGTTGGGATCATGATCCTGGGCCACCACACACTACTGTCTTTGTGTGTAAACATAAAATAGTAATGGGGCTGGAGAGATGGCTGGGCTTGTTAAGAGCACTTGTTGCTTTTGCAGAGAGCCAGGGGTTTGGTCCCCAGTAGCCAAAACGCAAATCACAATGGTCTGAAACTCCAGCTCCGGGGGATCCATCGCCCTCTTCTGGTCTCCCAGGACACTGTCAGCAGATACACACACACACACACACACACACACACACACACACACACACACACACCACATTTGTAAAAATTTAAAGATAGTGGTAATGCTCCAGTGAATTTCTTTCTCTGTTTTATACTCTTAACAGCAAGCTATTTAGAAGAGAGAGAAGGGGGAAAACCCCAGTGTCTTCTGTGGACATAGTAAAATGAAGACGAAGAACATTTAGTTCTAAACCAAAGCGATGACACCCTGAGCTTAGGTGTCCCTTGTCAGCTGTCGTTACTGAGAGTGTCACCACTAAAAATAGTTTCTCTTAATCACGGTAGATGGTGAATTGAATTCCACACTACACGCTATAGTGTAAAAGGCCATGTCTTTTACTTTCGGACCTTTCTACTAAAGAAGGATGCAGGCCCATTTAATCTCCGCAAAGAAAATCTTTACTCAGCAACACTCCTAGGGTGTGTGGTCAGGTGAAGGTGTCAGCATTTTATCAGACCACCTGCTCTATTGTGATACCGCTGACAGCCAGGCCTCTGCATGTCAGGAGCGTAGCCAATAGCTAGGGTCACCAGCAGGCCAAGCAAAAGAGAGCCAGGCAAGCTTCAGGTCTGACAGGCACGTGGGAGGGGCGTTGACGTAGGAAATGTGAAGGAGCCAGAGCTCAGAGCCTTGAAGGTGAAGGAAGCAGGGAGGTCTGGAGGCGTGTGGGCCGTAGCAATTATTTACAGGCTGCCGCTTTGCTTGGAGACATTTTAGGAGCGGGTTGGGTTGTGGGCGTCCGGGGAAGAAGGCGCATTGTCGCAAGGTGTATGTTTGGTGGGGCAGGTGGCCTGGCAGGACAGAGGGCCACCTCCAGAGCCGAGCCGGCTCTGCACCTCACCCACCCCATCCCCTTCCGTTCTCCGCCCCGCCCCCGTCCCCACCCACCCTTCTCTGGTTTCTCTGGGAGTCGCCATGGCAACGGACGCTGGCTTTGGAACTCAAGATTCTCAGAGCTTGGAGCCAGTAGTTAGGTGGTGGCCGCAGGCACAGCCCAGCGGGCATGGCCGAGGCTGAGCCTGAGGAAACCGAGGACCCAAGGTTGAAGACCCAAGGATGCCGGAAGATTCTCGAGACCCTCGAGGCGGCTATTGAACAATTCCAATACAACCCCAGGTGACCTGCCCACTGCGCGCACGTCCCCCGGAGCAGGCCCACAGCCTCGTGGCCTTCGATTTCCTAAGTAAATCATAGGCTAAAAGCTCAGACTCAGGTCTGGATTCCAGTCCTGCTCAGCTTCTCACCAGGCCCTGACTTAGCCGGTTTACTTCTCTAAGCCTCTATTATACCTGAGCTGGGGAACAGGACAGTGGCCAGTTGTGCCTACTCGTCACAGACAATAGGGCGTGTTAAATGTGTTCACCTAGGTACAGTCTAGAAGAGAGCCATACAGAAATGTTACGAGGCTGCTTTCAGAAAATACCAGAGACTCCAGCTTTTAAACACAGATTTCTTTGGGGATTCTGGAAGCTGGAAGTCCAAGAACTAAGCATTGATTTGGTATCTGGTGGTGGGACCAGCAGGGGTCTGTCTCCCCACTTCCCACAACCCTGGCTTTTAATAAAGATACAGTCCTATTACCGAGGTTCCCACATCATGACCCATCCTCTCTCTTGACCCTGCCTCTGGAAGCTATCACTTTAGAAAGTAGGACATTGACATGGGTTTTCTTAGAACCGGAGCACCCCCCAAAACACGGAGACAACGAGCCATATGCCTTTGCTAATGGAGTCATTATTTCAGGGTCCTTGGGTTTCATTCCTTCCTCTTGGGATCCTTTGACCTCAGCCCTACTGTTGCTATTTGGATAATGTAAAGTTGACATTTCTGGGGGAAAGTTGTTGTTGTTGTTTTTAAACACTTTTTCAAAGTAGTAAGCACATAGCCCTGGGTTAACTGCTACAAGATGCAATTCCATGCAGAGGCCTCAGGGAGACAGGCAATTGGTTCCAGGCAAGGCCAACACCCAGGTTGCTCCAGGTTGTGGTGGGGGCAGTGGGAGAGGATTGACTAGAGCTGGACCAGCCCAATAGTGGGCCTGACCCAGTGACACAGTCCTGTTGGACTCAGCCTCCATGGTGCAACTGTATTCAATAATAGGCATGTTGGTCAAACCGAGTCAGGGTACACACAGACCCCGATGAAGCTGCCAAAAGCACATATCACAGGCAGCTCTTGGCAGACACCCGTGGAATGCTGTGTCTAATCTGTTCCTAAGAGTCCCTTTCTCTTCAGGATTCCTTGACATTCCACAGTGGAATAAGTCCCCAACAAAACATTCCAGCCAGATTCAAGGGACTGACTGACCTCTGCCAAACACAGTACTAACATGCATTGATTGAACCAAGGAACTGCTAATGCCCGTAACCATTTGTCTTTACCCAAAGGTTCAGGGAATTGGGTTGGAGCTCTGAAATGAGTGGGAGGGAGAGGCTGAACAGTGTCTGACACCCAGGGATCTGAGCACAGCCGGGTTAGGCCCCAGGAAGCCAGTAGTTCACATAAAGACAGCTCAGCCTTGGGGAAGTAGACATTCTAGTTAGGAACCAATGCCAAACTAGTTAATCAGTAACCACATAATAAGTCAGACAGCATTTACACGTGAAAGAAGAAAGAGAAGCGAAGGCTAGCGGAGGAAATTGTGTGTGCATGTTACACGCCCCCCCCCCCCCAAGTCACCAAGTGGAAAGGGGGAATTGTAATTTTAGATATGACTGTCCGGAAAGGCTTCACTGTGAGGACACTAAGAAGAAAACTGCAGGAGAAGCCAGGCTGACATACCGGGAGACAAAACCCTGACTGGAAGTACAAGAAATGCAAAGCAGGGAGTCTGGATCTAGAATAGCAAGGAGGCCAGTGGGACTCTTAACATAGAGAAATGGGGTGAGGCACAAGAGAGATGGCCACATTTCAGGGGTCTTAGATCACCACAAAGACTTCAGCTTTTATTTCAAAAGAGAGGGGAAGCCAAGAGGGTATTGACACAGAGTACTGATACTCTCTGACTCACATATCTACTGGATTATTCTGCTGTTTTGATACTGGACTCTAACAGGGACAAGGACACAAGTGGGTAACCCAGTTAGGGGACTTTTAGAATATCTATCAAGGAGGATGGCCATGGGGACTGGGTAAAGCGCTTGCTATGAGGGCCTGATTTTGACTCTCCAGCCATGTAAGCAAATCTGTAAGGCCAGCACAGGGGGACGGGGGCAGGTGAGTCCCAGGTGCTCACTGCCAGCCAGTCTAGCTGATACAGCTAGAAGTGTGAATTCAACAAGTGGTTCCATCCCCCCAAAATAAGGAGGAAGACAGACACTCAACGCTGACTTCTGGCTTCCACATGCACACACTTGCAGACAAGTGCACAGGTGCTCTCATTCCCGTGCTCACACACAAGCAGATAACACTGCTCGTGGAAGTGGTGGTCTTGGAGGAAGATGGTTATGGGGGAACAGGAGGCAGTCCTTGGAGAAGCTGAAGATGTGATCAGATTCTTCCTACTCATTAAAAAAAAGGGATTGGTCGAGTTTACTGATGGACTGCCCACACATAGGACAGGTGTTTCTGACCTGAGGAGTTGGAAAAATGAGGTTGCCATTAACTTTGTTGGGAAAGGGCATGTGGGGAACAGGATGGGGGTAATGTGATAAGCTCATCTTGGGAAACAATGTCAGCAGTGACTGTTAAACATCTATTTAAGCAGTAGTAAGGTCTGAAGGTGGGAAGAGGGGTCCAGCTTGGTATATCAATTTGGAAATAATTTGTAAAAGGATGCTGTGTTAAGTAAACTATGAGACTTCATGAGATCAACCAGGAAGTGTGTGTGTGTGTGTGTGTGTGTATATATATATATATATAACTTTGAAATAGAAAATAAAAGGATATTTTCCTTAAATAACATTGAGCCATTCACCACAGTGAAAATTTAGCACCTCTAATGTCATCTTCATTGAGTAATTCATTAGCCAGCATTTGTTAGGATGGACTATTCTAGGGCTCAGTGGGATGTGTTGCTGCAGTCTATTAATAAATATTCATGGATCTGCTTTGTATAAGTTAGCATATTAATTTTGTGTCTAATTTATTAAACATAATTGTTATCTCCCGAGACCATGCTTTATGCATAACGAGCAACCTATTATTTGGGAGGATTGCACAGACTATAAATAAGGACTGTGTAGGAACCACTTCGCTAAGATCTTGGGATGTGGGCTTCCGTTCTAGGCAGAGCACTTAACATCTAAAATTAGAGCTACTTCAAACTTGAAGAGAAGCTGAAGAATGAACCTTCATATTTTATTTAGATTCTGGGTGAGCCAGATCTTTCTAAATCAACCATACAGGAAGTTAAGACTGGGGTGGGGAAACCTTACAATCCCAGCTCTATCCCCCCCCCCACCCCTGGTTGCAATTTTAAATGAGTTATTTACCTTTGTTGAACTTCAGTTTCCACATCTTTGAAACAAGATGTTGGAAAATGACTGGAAGAAGAAAAATTGTAGATTGAAGCATACATCTTAACAAAGCCTCTGTGGCAAGTTACTCTATAAATAGGTGTATTGCTTTTAAACATTTCAGAGGATTTATTTGTAAAATTATGTGTTTTATCATTGTCCTGATACAGTAACAGAAGGAATAACCAAACATACTATGATGTTTCTAAATAATAACCTGAAAAAATATATCCACACACAAAATTGTCCACATTCTATAAACCTACTGCTCAAATAAAGTGTTGTGGGTTTTTTGTTTGTTTGTTTGTTTGTTTGTTTGTTTGCCTATAATAGGAAGGAATAAAAGAACATAAATGTTCAAGCCTAATGGAAAATGAAGTTGAATAGAGGGAAAAAGAGCCACTTAGCACTGGGGGAGGGTAAAGAATTACAGCTCTGGACTGGAGGAATAAACAGAGGTCTAAACATACAGTGTGCAGACTACAGAGAAAACAGGGTACGTTAAGGTGATGGGTTCTATCTGTTATGCTGGCATAGCACCCAAGGTTTAGACGATTTAGAATGCCCCCAAATGCTGAAGACTGCAATAAATACCTATTTGGAGACAGCATGGGAGACACTAAAAGGTCCAGGCTACTAGTGGCAGAGAGTCTTGGCAGAGGTTGCAGGCAGCACTGGTCTGCAGGGATAGCTTGCCCACTGGCTAAGGAATGCTAAAAGGTACAGTCAGGCAAAGCTCCTCACTGAGCCAGGAGATCCTTTTGTTGTTTTGGCTGCTGTGTTTTTCAGTTGATCTTTACCACTGGGCACGAGAATACTAAGAAACATTTCGCAGAACCCATGGGTTGCACAGAGGGAGTCCTCCTTGTCTCTCCACTCTGGCAATTGCCCAAGCGTCCCTTGATAATCAGATTCCAATCACATCATGCAGTAGAGTGATCCTTTTCTTATGCCTTTGGCTCCGTGGCCTAAGGGTCACAGAACAGCCAGGTTTCGTGGCTCTCAATGTAGTCACCGTTTCTTACAGGGGTGTTTATAGCCCGTCTCTATTCTTCCAAGTTTATCCATAAAACTCTTCCCTAGATGCTCTCGCCACCAATCTTTTGCCTTCCTGGCCATGCATGTAGCTTTTTAGTGATGGCTCATGAATTAATCTAGATATCTACTCCAGGCCCTTCACCTAAAAAGAAGTGGACAGACAAAGCATTGCTCCAAGTGTTAACAATGAGAGGGTCTTCCTTCTTGGTGCTTATTCGTGGTCACTTCCTGGTGGGTTTATGAAACTCTCTGAGCCTACCGTGTGGTGACAGGTCCATCTGTTAATTAGGCTTGAGTTTTTCTTCTTCGGTCAACTAGACATAATGTCCCACAAGGACATAGGATACATTTAGTCTAAAAGAGTTCCTCAGCCTTTCCCAGCTTTGTGTGTGTGTGACACTATCACAAAGTATGAAGTTCACATCCTATTGAGTAACCCTCTGTGACTCCGGCTCATATGTTGTTACAGTTAGACTCAGGTCATGTTTGTACAGCAGAAATGCCACCAGGAGGAGCTGTAATCGCTTCAGGGATTCAAAGTTGGCAAAGCTGTAAAATTAGCCACCATTAATAACAATGACCTTGAGCTGAGCATGGCGGCACAGGCATTTAATCTCAGCA